CCCCGCCGGCCCGCCCCAGCCGGCGCCGGCGGGGGCGGGGGCGGGGGCGGCATACGCGGCGGCGCCGTACATGGTCGCGGCGCTCTGCGGCTGCTGCGGGGCTGGCGGGCCGTAGCCGGGCGGCGGGGGGCCGTAGGGCACAGAGTAGCCCCCGCCGCCGCCGCCGGGGTAGCTGTATGGCGGGGCGCCGTTTGGCGCAGCGCCGCCGTTGGGGTGCTGCATGTAGCCCATTTGCACCCCGCCGGGCGGCCCGTACCCCGGGCCGTGCTGCGGGTTCATGGCGCCGTTATGCGCGGCGCAACACGCGCCGTGGTGCGCGGTGCTGCTGCCGCTGCGGGGCAGGTGCGGCGGCGACTGCTGACGCTGGCGCGGTCCGCGGGTCGGGCACTGTTCAGGCGCGGGCGCGGGTCGGCGGCCAGCACCAGAAGCTTCGAACGCTGTCCAAAGCTGGTGGTCACGCGCTGGCCTCCAACACCGCAAGTTGAGCGGGCCGAGTCCTCGGGTGTGACTGGTGTGCAAGGGCCAGGAGGGCCCGATCTCTCGGGTGACACGCGATCGGTGAAGTCTATCCGATGTCTAAATCGACGTGCGCTCGTTCTAAGCCGACCAGCGCGCCGTTGAGCGGAATGGCAGATGCGAGTGGGGCCCCAGCACGAAAACACGTCGGACCTGTTGCGAGACAGATAATAACACACCCAGCTTGTCAGTTGGATGACCTACTAGCTGGCCCCACGAGCACCTTGTGACCTGCCGCACGCTCCTGCGCGGCTTCTCGGCGGCGCCAGCCTCATCCTCTCGTGGGGTGGGCCGAGCACCTAGCCCCACACCCCCACAAGCATTCCGGCCAAAAACTCGGAGCCCCGCGCGATGCTGCGATGCACGCCGCGGCGCGCTTTCAGAGCACCGGGCCCCTCGGTTCGACAACCCTGCGGCCAGCGGGGCAACCATGTGCCCGGCCGTTCCTGAAACGCTCGACCCGGAAGAGGGTGAGTGGGGCCGCGCAAGCGCCAGCTGTGCAGGTGGGCCAGCCGGTGCCCAGCCGCACGACCCACGGCGCCCCCTCTCCCCCCTCCCCCCCTGCCCTCGCTGCCGCCTGCCGCTTGCCCCGGTGCGCGACGCCTGCCTGCTTGAGCAGGCCGGCCCCCCCTTTCCCCTCGTTTGCGGGTTGCCCACCGAAAGCTGAGAAGAACGGTGTAGGAATGAGTGACGTTGATTGGATCACCATCAATTGCCACTTACATACAACATTGATCAAATACAAAGCGGCGGCCGCCCGTGCGGCGCGCGCACAGCTGTGCGCTCGGCGCACAGCGGCGCCGCCGCCCGCGCCAGCCTCCGGGCAGGCGTGAGGGGTGCATGCCTACCGCTGCTGATGCTTGGGCGAAAGGCGGCGGCCCGGGCCGTGTGTGATGGCGGTCAAACGTCAGTGTGAGGCCCCGCTCATTCGGCGCGCCGCCAATGTCAAAGAAGCGCGCCGCGCGGACCTCAGTTGCAGGCCGCGCGGCCGCGGGCGCGCGGGCCCCAGAACGCGCGCGTTAGTGACGTCAGCAGCTGTCAGCGCCGCGCGACGGCCAGGGCGGGGGCCAGGGGTGCGGCGGCCGCGCGAGCCTGGGCGGGGGGGCAACAGCGGCGGCGGGCCAACGCCGCGGGCGCCGGGCCAAGGGGCACAGAAGAGCCAGGCCCGCGCAACGGGTGTGCTTTGGCAGTCTGCACTCCATGTGCCCAGCATGCATGTATTGTATGCAGGCCCCAGCCGGGCGCTTTGAGGGGGGGAGGCAACGCTGTTGCCCTGGGGTCAAGTCGGTGAGCACGCGCCTGGGGCGCGCGGATGCTTGAAAACGTGCGCGTGCAAAAGCGGGGCAAGCGGCCTCTCCGTCTGTCAAAAGCGGGCGGTGCAGCGCCACGCGGGCGAGCAGGCGGCGCAGGGGCCGCCGCCGGCAGGCCGGGCAGCGCCGCCGAGCGGCGGCCCGCGCGCGCGGCTGCGGGCCGCCCCCGCTGGCTGAGGTGACGGGCGGTGTGCAGGCGGGGGGCCGGCGGGCTCGAGGGGCTGTACTGGCTGCCCGCAGCCGCCTCGCTTCGCCAAGTCCAGACGGCCGCAAACGCGGGAGCGCCGGATGACGGATCTCAGATCTGTGATATCAGATCTGAGATCAGATGTCCATCTCGTTGGCCATGCCGTAATCCACGTTGGCCTCGCCCTCGTCGCCCTCGTCGTCAGAGTTGTACAAGTACTTGCTGTCCTCCTCATCAGCACCCTAAATAACATAGATAGCATCAAGACGTCAGATCATCAGATGCTTGATACGATGTATGGAGGAGACGAGAAAAGGCGCGACCCCGGCCGCTTCGACCGCCGATGCCGCGGCAGCGGCGGCGGCCAAGGCGGCGCGGCGTGGCAGCGGCGGCCAGGCCGAAACCGCCTGTCAGCGCCGGCCGCTCGGCGCGCTACTGCACCCCTCCTCAAAAAGCAAACGCCGGGGCTGCAAATGCGCGCGGGCGCGGGCAGGGGCGCGGCACGCGGCGCGGGCGCGGGCGGCGCGGCGCACCTCCTCCGCGGCGGCCTTGGTGACCGCCCGGCAGCTGAGGTAGAGGATCCGCTTCAACTTCTTGTTGTAGAAGAAATAGTTGAACGACCACACCGCAGCCTTCTCGCCTGCCGGGGGGCAGCGGGGGCGGGGACGCCCGATCGCAACCGCCGCCGTCGGATCGCTGTCGGCCCGCTGGGCCCATGGCGACGCGCCAGCAACCAAGGCGGCGGGGGCGGCCGGCGCCAGGCCAGGGGCGCGGCGGGGCTCGCCCGGCCCGACAGGAGCCGGGGGCGTCAGGAGCACAGCGGCCGATCGATCGGGCGCGTTGGTCGCCGGGTCGCGAAACGCGTCCGTGCAGCGGCGCCGCCGCGCTCGTCTGCCGGGGCGCCCGCCGGCTGCCCCGCAAAGGCAAACCAAAGGGGTGCGTCTCACTGTTTGATGCGGCGAAGCCGGGGCCCCCCAGACTCAAAACGCGCGCGCGCGGCGCCCCCTCCCCCTGCTCGCGCGGCAGCGGCGTGCGGCCGCCGGGCGCCTCATGAACACCCACCAAAGGGGTCTGTCTCATTTCAAACTCGACGACAGGCCTTTTGATCCAACACGCGCCGTGCGACCCCCCGGCCCCAAAGGCAGCGGCGTACGTGCTCGCGTGGGACAAAAAAGCGCAATCGGTCCGTGTCGAGGCGGGGCCGAGCGCCTTGTGGCCACCCACCAAAGGGGTCCGTCTCGTTGTCAGATTTGTAGCTGTACACGTCACAACTCTTCAGGTCGATCGCCTTTGGGGGGGGAGCAGATGGGTTGGGGGTGGGGGTGGTGTGTGGGGCCGTACGCGTGGTGTGATGGTTGCTGGGGCCGCGCGCTGCTGCCCCGTGAGGAGCCGGGGCGAGCGCGACCGCACCGCGGCCGACGAGCAGAGGCGCCCACACGGCCGCGGCCACGGCCGCAGCAGCCGCCGCCGGCGCGCCGCGCGACGCGGCGCGGCTCGCGCACACCGCCTCGACCCTTGGGCACGCCAGGATTCGTGCGACCGCCCCCCAGCCCCACGGACGGCGGCCGGGGCCGCGCCCAGGCCACGTCGGCCGCCGGCCCCCGCCCAGCAGGACCCAGCCGCGCGCCGCTCCCAGTTTCCAACGTCTCCGGCCCCGCTCGCACCCGCTAGCGCCCCCCCGCCTTCCGCGCCCGCCCAGGCCCACGACCGCCACCCTCCCGCACACAAACGACCACGCACGCACGCCTCGGCCCCCGCCCCCCTCACACAAACTCAAACCACACACACACACACACACACACACACACACACACAACCACAAACCACACACATGTAGAAACACACACGTCCGCACCTCATCCACCGCGCTCCACAGGGTGTCCAAAAACGGCGCGTCCCCAAAGCCCGGCGTCGCCTCCCACACCTGCGACCCGCATCAGCGCCGCGCGGGGGACGCCAGGGGGTTACGCGGGAACGCGTCATGACTGGCGGCCGACTGCGGCGCCCGCAACGCTTGCGCCTGAGCAGAGTCGATGCCGTCCGATTCGTGACATAGAGCGGCCGCCGCGGGCCCGCGCGGCAGCGAAATGCAGCCGCCGTCGCGGCCCCACCGAGCGTTGCATCGGGCCCATGCTGGCGCGGCCGCGCAGGCGCTCGCAGCCGCTCCGCCGGCTGTCGCCCCCTGCGCCCCGCTGCCTGCCACAGCTGCCGGCCACCCCCCTCTGATCCGGGCAATGACACATGCATGCATACACACGCACATGCATACACGCGCACATGCATGCACACACACGCACATGCATGCACGCAGACATGCACACGCACGCTTTTGCACACCGCGACTGCGTGGTTTGTTGTGCGCACACTCACCCCAAACAGACCCCCCATGCAAAATCACAGGCACATGCAAAGCAACGTACACACACACACACACACACACACACACACACACACACACACACACACAAGCACACAGATACAAATAATTTACACACTTTGTTTCCAACCCACTCAGATCACCTTTGACACCTCCAGCAGGTGCGTATCAATGACCTCCTCAGCCTTTGCCAGGCCCGACTCCTTTTTGAAATGGTGCGCCCGCAGCAGGCTGAAGTCGTAATCCGGGTATATGTGGTTCAACGTGAGAATCAGGTAAATAAGGGTCTTGCGGCTGCGGGCGGGCGGGGGTTGGCGCACTGTGGTCGGGGGCGGCAGTGGGGGTCACGCAGTCCACGCGTTGTTGCCTGCTGGCGCACGGCAACAGTTGGGGTCTGCCGACGCTGGCCTGTTCAAGTTTGAGATAATTTGATGAAGCAGGGTGTGCCGCCGCCGCAGCAGCAGCAGCAACAGCAGAAGCAGCAGCAACATCACCATCAGCAGCAGCAGCAGCAGCAGCGCTGCGCACCTCGCCGAGTCGGACAAAGGCCCGACGGGCGACATCGACAGCTCCTGCGGCGAGCTGCCGACCTGCACCTCCGTGTCCAGGCTCTTCGACAGCTTCTTGTCGAGTCCCGCGAGTTTGCCTGCAGGAATGAGGCGCAAGGCTCAGCGCACACACCAGCAGGGGCCTTGCCACGGGGTCCAGGCGCACCCCAACGCACATGAGTATGCTTCCAGATCCCCGTAGACTACGAAGTCGCCGGTATCCACGTTGTCGAGGAAAGAATTGATCCTGCGAGGAGACACGAGGGCTAGTTCGAGGACCCGCGCCTGATGCAGCTCTGCCCGAGGCCCAGTCCTGCGCTGAACCCACCTCGCAAGGTTATTATCGTCTAAGAATTTCATCCTTGTGCTCTATATTCGCTGTGAAGTGTCAGTGTATGTGATAGATGTCGGTTCCCGCGACCAGCATCCCGTCCCTCGCAGCTGCACGTGCAGAAAGTGGCTGTTGACGTCGAGTGGCCTCAGCGCGGGCAGTGTGGCTTGCAGGCGCGCTGACAGTTCAAGGGGACTGCTGGATGGGGTTGTGGAGCGTATGATTCGCAACCAAAGGGGTCTTTGTGGTAGAATGCGTTGCTCCAAGGACGTGCGTGTCTGAATGTGACATGATATGCATCGAAGCGACTGTGCATCCCCGCACAGTTGTTGGAGTGACACCGACTGAGGGTGATTCCGGTTGCTGCCGCTGATTGATGCCCTTCCGAAAGCGCAGTTGAGAATAAAAGAGTGATAGTTGGTCATTTAGACCTTGCGGGTTCCTATAGTCGCCATGATGTGCAGAGCGGACCCGACGCATCGCTGCTGCCTAGTGGCTGCAGCACAGCATGTGGGATGCCTGAATCGATGCACCATTCAGAATCAACTTTCGCCGCTTCTGTTGCAGCTGATATAGTATTCAATACCTTGTTGAGCAACAACCGATGTGAGCGTTTGCACTGCGATTGACCAGCATTGACTGATCCCGCGTGGCTGGGTTGGCTCTCCACCCAGCCTTGCATTCCACATCCCTGAGAGCGACACCGCCAATCATCAGAGGGTGTCCTCACTTCCCTTTTGATTGGTGGGGTGAGCGTGTCAGAGGCACGCTGCCGTGTAGCAATTCTGACCAGCCAATCAAAGCGGCGAGCCTCTGCCCCACGGCCCGCCCATCCCCGCGCCGCCGTCCCCGTCTGCAAGCGCGCAGCCCCAATGAAAGCGTGCGGAACGCGTTTGCAAATGATATGAACGCTGAAGTCATCATAATTTTTACATAGAGTGGCATGGCATGTGGAAACAGACGTGGAAACAGACCGTGCAGCTGCCTCACCCTGCGGCCGCGGGCAGCACTCCGATGTTGGCCGCCGCGCCCCCGTGCGCCGGCCCCGCGCGGCACGGGCCGTCCGGCTGCGTCTGCCGCCGCCTTCCAGGCACATGCGCCAAGCACGCATGCCGACAGCCACTGAGGGGCGAAGACCGGAAGACTCTCGGCAAATCACGTGCAAATATCTGAGGCTTTGGTCAAAGCGCACGCGGGGGGCGCTACGTAGCAAGCCAAATCCCGACAAAGACCCTGCTTCGATGATATTAAACACCCAGCATGGCGGTGCGGCGCGTCCAGGGCAGCAAGGCCGCGCGGGCCGCCCGCCCCTCTGACTCGAGGGATCGGCGCGGGGCCGGCGGCGGGGCGGCAGAGAGGTAGCCCCCGCCCCCCCCTCCCCGCCTCGCAGCGAGGGCCGGCAAGCACGCAGCCCCAGGACCAGCCCCCACGCGGCCGCGCGACGCGCGCCCCGCGCCGCGCCGCGCCGCGCCGCGC